AGGGTTTCAGTCTTGCTCTTGTCTGATCCTTCTTTTCTATTTCCCTATCCTCCTTTTTAGAATAGGTACTCTCCTCTGTGCCATTATTCTACAGGGGCTCACAGCTAAGAGTTGATTTCATTGTTCAGAGGAAATTTTGGACTTGAACTTTTAAGCAGTGCTGGAACTATTGAGACTGGGGGTTTTGGAGATGGACTAAATCTATTTTACAATATGAGTTATGAGCCTTTAGTGGTGCAATGTTATGAATGGAAGAGATGTGTTTGTGTACTGTGGCTCAACCAATAAACTTGTAAAGGAGGGTTAACTATGATCAATCATATGACTGGACAGAGAAGCACCTAGAATGCTGAAATGTACCTTTGGATGTATCTGTGAAGGTGTTTCCAGAGAGGATAATCTAAGAAAGACTTTCTCTGAAAGTAGGCAACACTATACCATGGATGGGGAACTGGATTAAATAAAAAGTGGGGAGGGAGAAGTAGCCAATGCAGCAGACACACATTCTGCTTCCTGGGCAACATAACGAAAACCCCTGTGCTCCACTAAGCCCTCCACACTGTGACAGGCTGAAATCATGGAGACAAAACCAATCCTTCTCCCTTAAGTCGTTTCTCTCTGGTATTTGGTCAAAGCAATGAGAATCTCACCAACACAGATGCCCAAATGTAAGACTAATGTTCCTACATCATATTTGATCCTTTCATACTTTGTCTGGAAGGTCTACTCGCAGGCTGTGCTTAGCAATCTAGCTACAGTCATCAACAGAGCAGCAGCAAGGAACCCACAACCCAAAAAACTTTGCAATGGCTGACCAGTAAGTCTTCAGAAAGCTGGCAGACATGGAAAAAGGAGAATTAAGAAGCAGGTGGCAGGCTAGTGTCGTCTAGAGATATTATTTTGGATACACGTCATTTGTCACAAAACACTATAGAGGAAGTAGAACTACTGTAAACATGAGAACCACAATTAACTGACAGGCTATTTATGCCACCTTCCCCTGCCTCAAAAATTTGTTATTCCGGCTGTGCAGACATGCAGGACCCTGTAACTTCAGGATGGTGCTTAATCACCTACAGAGACAATTGGAAGCTCCCTAGTCTAGCGGAACAGGTTAGACTGGTGCCTTGCTAATGCTTCACACAGATATCTACAGCTGGCCACAGATATCTACAGCTGGCATGTTCAGGTCTGGGGACAGCTTTCAAACTCCCTAGAAAGTCAGGTCTGGGAATACTGTGCCTAGTAGCACCTTGGCCTCTTGTCAGGAATGAACGCACTATCCTTAGTACTTGTCTTTTACTACAAATGCTAAACATTCACAATATATCTCTTACTGTCTTTAGGTCCTTTGTACCGAAACAAATACTTACTACTACAAGATCTATTGGTGTAAATTCCTAACGAAATAACTACTCCCTGGGGACAATGGGATGACATACCATGATATAAATAGGGAGAAGTGGGTGCCACATTCAGTGATTTAAGAAGCACACACATCACAACTGATACAGAAAGGAAGCATAGACATGCTACTGGGTAATTACACTTCTACAGTTCAAAAACCAAAATGCACAAATAAGTACATAACGACATCTCCCTTCCACTCAAAAGTCACAGCTACCAAGGTTCTGTCCCCTAAGGAAACCAATGAATAGTCCGTTACATTTACTTCCATAGATATTTATAACTATACTACTTTATTTGTTTAATACTAAAGCTATTCCTCTCAGATTAAATATCAGTTCAATAGAAAAAGGTGGGAAACTCCTGGGTATTTACTCAAAGGACTCCAAGACAAGAGATCCCTGCACATCCATGCTTACTGCAGCAGGACTCACAACAGCTAAACTATGGAACCAACTTAGGTGTCTGTCATCAGAAAAAGTGGATAAAGAAAATGTGCTATGTATACACAATGGAATTTTACTCATCCATGAATAATGAAATTATGTGGTTTGCAGTACCAGATTATCACGATAAGTAAATTAAGTCAGACTCAAGAAGACAAATATTGCATATTTTCTCTCATTTGTGAATCCCAGACTTTATAGATATAACAAAAACTCATGACATGAACATAGAAGCTTGAATGTCTAAAACAGTGTTTCTCAAGATGTAGGCTGTGATCCCTTTGGCAAACCTCTGTCTCCAAAACTACTTACATTAGAATTCATAACAATAGCAAAATTACAGTTATGAAGTAGCATTTTGGGGTGGGGTCACCACAATGTGAGGAACTGTATTAAAGGGTCACAGCACTAGGAAGGCTGAGAACCACTTCTCTGGGGGAAGAAAAGGAAACAGCAGGAGGAGAAAAAGTAGAGGATAGCAGGGTATGAGGAAAACACTGTCAAAATACATTAATCACTTGTGTCAAATGTTCTTAAGAAAACCAGTAATATGTACAATGAATATATGCCAATAAAACAGATGACAGGAAAGAGACTTTTAAAAACTTGAAGGGTTTTGGATTTCGAAATTGAACATTTTAATTCATAAAAATTTATTCATAAAAAAATTCTGAAGTTAAATTGTAGCTTCCAGAAATTAATATGCATACCCAGAACAGAGCAGATCCTCAACATCCCTAAGCCTTCCTGACCTTTATTACTCAGAGACAAGAGGACAACTACTCACTTCCTCTATGGATACTGAGAAATAAAATCAGATTTCTTTGTCTGTGGGCAGATGCATGTGTGTGCACAGGTGTGTCCATGTGTGTACATTAAGGCACATCTGCAGAGTCAGAGTGTCCTGCCTTATTACTCTAATAATCTTAAGTACATAGTGGAAAATTTAGTAATCAATTAAAATTAGAATTCAGATTTTGATCAAAAATTGAACAGAAGATCAAATGTCCTGGAAAGAAATGTTTTCTCACAATTACAAACAACCCAAATCAACATATTAATATTTGACATAACCCAGGAAATCACACTTTGAAAAAAATAAATTTCTCAATACATTTAAAAGCAGCAAGAAGACCCAAAGACATAGAACAAAATTATACAGGCATATCATGAGATTTATAACATGACTATCCACAAAATGAAAGAGCACACTGGCATGTGGTCCCAATTACTAAAACAGTGAGGTGACTTTCTGAAGTATATATGAGTGCAAGAAAAGCCTACTGTTGTTTTTAAACCTTATGATAAAGATGACTGGAGCTGGGTGTGGTAGCTCATACACGTAATCCCAGTACTCAGAAGGCTGAGGCAGGAGGACTGCCCTAAATTCAAGGCCAACCAAGGCTACACAGTGAATTTCAGGACAGTCTAGGCTACTCTGCAAGACCCTGTCTCGAACAAAATCCAAAGATAAAAATTACTGAATTCTATGAACATAGAATAATCCTCAGAACACATATTTTTATCCCCATTTATATTCTGTCTTTGAGCATGCATTTATGAGTCTGTCAAATGTACTACCTATTTCTCACTGTTCTTTAAGGAGTTGGTTCTGAGACCTATAAGATAAATATATGCTCATAGCTTTGTATAAACATACAAAGGCAGTCCTTCATTTCCAACATGGCTCTGAGGCAATCATCTAAGATGGCAGCATATTTCAATTCCTCACTCACTATCTGCCCAGGAAACATCTCGGTTTACATGCTTTCCTCATGTCATACATTTGTTACCAACTAAAACATACTACAGAGGCTTTTTGATCAAGTATGGAGGCCAAAGTCTGGCCTGAGACTTGTGATTTCCCATAACCACCTAGATTTTTGATTTTATGGTTTCAAAATCTGTTTAGGTCACTACTTCCAAACTGAAAGACTCCCAACTAGTCCCTTATACAATTTGTTTGAAAGGGTTTGGTAGCCATAAGCCCTGGTTATTAATAACTAACCAAGAACCATGAGACCCAAAAGGCCCAGGACCAAGGGTAATTCACACATTTAAAGTTAAGAAATTAAAGATTAATTTCTATTCTGTCAGGGATCCCTGGGTAAAAACTGGAGTATACTGTGATGAAGAATAATGCTCTGGCTTGGGAGACAGTTCTGAAGGGGGGCTCTTTTATGATGGTTTGGGGCTTTCACACCCCTGAATTAAGTTTAAAAAGAATGCTTGGCTCCAGTTTGGAGTGACTGGGGTAGGAGTAAGGAGAGAATGACAGGAGGCACAGAGGAAAAAAAGGATGACTCAGATTGTAACTGTTATTATCCACGTCATAACCCTGTCCACGCAACATGCTGTGTACTATTCAATCTAGAAAGGAAAGTGGTATCAGCCCATCCTTAACAAAAGAATCAAAACCATCACTTTTCCCTCCATACACTCAGAAATGTTTCTTCAAAGTTGCTCCTTGTTACCAATTTAGGGGTAGAAGAGCTACCCCTGGCTTGCAGAAAGCAAGGAAATAGGTATAACTTCCCAAGGGACATTAAGGATTCCTGTCTCAATAGTTAGGCCTGACATAGTGGTGTCACTACGATGAGTCCTAGACCACACTCACCTTTCATCCCTCCTCGGACATTATTGACAAGAGATAAAAAGAACACAGTCCTCAGAAGTGAACCCCTACCTGGAATGACCATCATGGGCAGCCCAAAGTCAAGACTTAACATTCAGACCTCTTTCTAACCCCTCTGTGGCCTGTCCCCTGGCGCGGCACAGCTCCCTGAGAAATCACCCACCTCCTGCCCCTGTGTCCTCTACAGATCTAAACTGGGGTAGGAAAGGGGGTCAAGGCTGATGGAGAGGGGCACAACAGAAACATAATCAAGCAGAGGGGCTAAGAGATCTCCTCTGTGTCTTTCATCTTGGTTCCTGGTAAAGAAACGTTGAAATGGGACAAAAATGCTTTTAAGCATAGCACAGAGTCATAAAAATGCAGAGAGTTGACCTTGGAAAGCCACAGCGTCTCAGCTGGAAACGCAAAAGAAGAAACTCCTTGGGAAGTGAAGCCGGAGAACTGTGCGGCAGCCCGGAGGAGCACAGCCGGCCGCCCAAGGGACGTTGGCAGGGCAGTGGCAGGGAACTCACCATAGATCATGGCCAGCCCGGTCTCGTGCAGGAAGCGCACCCGGCGGTGCTTGAAGAGCCAGATGGTGAGGATGGTGAGGGTGAGCAGCAGGATGAAGGTGAGCAGGCTCACGCTGTCCTGCCGGTGGCTCTCCTCCGCCTCCTTCTCGGTGGCGAGCTCCTCCATGGCGCTGCTGTCCTCAGCCGCCGCCCCAGAGGAGGAGGCCGCGGCCCCGAGCCGCAGCCCCCGACCCAGCAGCACTGGCAACAGTGGCAGCAGCAGCAGCCGCGGCGCCAGCGTCCAAACAGCCCTCCCTGGACCGGGGTGCGCCGCGTCACTAGGCTCCATGACTCCGGGGCTGCCCGCGCGTCTTTCACGCGGGGACCAGCAACAGCCCGTGCAGTCCTCGGCAGCTTCCCGCGGTGCCGACCTAGCCCGTGGCTACAGCGCAGCTCCTCCTCCTGCCGCTAGCGCCCGGCCAGGGCTGCGCCAAGCTGCGGGGGAGGGGCGCTCGCAGTGCGCAGGATCCCCAAGCGCCGCCCCCGGCCCGCGCACCTGTTCGCCGTCGTTGTCGCTGTCCCCCCCCCCCCCCCCCCCCCCGCCCTGGCCTAGAGCACGGCCACCGGGCTGTCCGGGTGGGGCGGGCTCTATCCTCCTCCTCCTCCGCCAGGCAGGCAGCCAGCCCTTTGGTGGCGCCGTGCTGACCGTCCTGTCCAGGAGTACCTGGTCAGACCGTCTGGGGTCTGCTAACCAGTTTCTGGGTAGTAGCCCTCACGCTACCTAAAAGGGACTGCAGAGGTCACTTGCTCCTGGCAAGAAACATCAGCTAGGACTGACTCGCTGCGAGATCTCCAGTCCTGTTCCTAGCGCCACCGCTAGGAGTTTGGTATCACGCGGGTGTGTGGCCTCTGTGAGCCCAGCAAAGTGGGGCCTCCCAGGAGTTACAAAACCATATTACTGTTGAGAGAGAGAGAAAGAGAGAGAGAGAGAGAGAGAGAGAGAGAGAGAGAGAGAGAGAGAGAGAGAGACCCCCTTTTGTCACCTTTCGGAGTATAGGGACTCCCCCAGAGTCTTCCAGGCATTATTCAAATAAGGATAGGTAATGGCAATCGGTGAGAGCGATGAAATAAATAACTCCATCATTAGACTTCAACTAATTCCTTGCAGGAAAGAGGGTTGAATTGGAGGGAACTAAGAACTCTTGCCATTCTGAGTAGAAGAGTGGCCAATGGTCAGCCCTAAGGAGGGTGGGAGGGGCAATTTATCATGATGATACTTTTAATGTTATCTTCCTGCCAACTCAGAAAACAGGTGAGTCTTTAGTTGAATATTAGGGTCAAGCCCAACTCAGAATTATGACAAGGTCTTCAGAGATAAAAACCTCTTGGAAGAAATCCTAATAACTAGAGTTTTCAACCCACCTTGTTTCTCTAGTCAAGAAAGAAAAGAAAGCTGAACACATCAGTCATTGCCTGTTGTCAAACACTTTATTCACATTTACTGAATCTCTCTCCCCACCAACTGCCCATGCTCTCTCCTCCAGAGGAGTTTGCAGCAAGAGGATTTGCTGAAGAAGATAGGAAATCTGTTCAGAACACCACCACCCTCCTCTAGGTGAGCGTTTAGCCAAGACTACTTAGTGTCTCTTCACATCATGGAATCTCTTCATCTTGATTTTAGCCAGGATCTTTTCCTACTCTACCATAAATACAAAAGAAACTACAAATAAGAACCATGTAGCTGAGCCTAGGCAATGCCTGAAACCGAGATAATGAAGTGATTGGTGCTATGTTCATAGACCTTACTATTTGAAGACAGCTTCTTCCACAGCAATAGACAACCGAAAGATTAATCATTACATAAAGTGATTGCCTCAGGAAGAACATGAAAAGACTCACCTGATATTCACACATATACACCAAAGACTCCATTAGCTATACATATTTATATATGCAATCTATCTTATTCAACCCAGAGATTCAGATTCCAATTAACACAGATTAATACACTCAACTGTGTGGTTCTCTCTGGGTGTGGTGGCACACCTCTATAAATCCCAGCTACTCGAGAGGCTGAGGTGAGAAGAGTTGAATCAGGAATTTCAAGGCTAGCCTGGGCAACAAAGCAAGATCCAACGCAGCCCAAAACACCTGAGCAGAACGCATAGTGAAGCCATTTAAACATTCTGAAATGAAGACAACAAGTAACTTCATGAAGAACACCGGAGTTGAAGCCAACTCAATACCAGACTCAAGCAAACCTAGAAGGGTGAATAGACATGGACAAAAAGAACTCCAGAAAGAGGGGGAATAGGTCTCCTAATGTTCAAAGAACATAGAAGAAATACCATTTAATTTTTTTCTTTGTTCTTTCCTGTACTGTGGCAGCTGCATTGGTTAAAAAAAGAATGCCGTACCCTCATGCACTCAGACTGACAGGAGTAGGGACTGTCTTTCTCTCTGCCTAGAGTAGCTGTGATCCCAAGACACTGGGGGCTGTTCCCCAATGGTTCATATTCATTTCTCTACGTCTGTCTCTCTGTCTCTGTGGGTTTCTCCATCTCTGTCTCTCTGTGTGTCTCTCTGTCTCTGTTTCCATCTCTGTCTCTCTATGTGTATCTGTGTCTGTGTGTGGGTGTGTCTTCCTCCTCCCCACTCTCCCCCTTCCCTCCCTCTTCATCTGTCCTTTCTTCTACTGCTTAGTGTCAGACAAAGTTACAAGAAGTTACTAGTAGAGAAAAGTAAATATGTAGATTTCTCTCTAAGAACCCAATAAAGGCACTCCAAGGAATTCCAGATTACCAGGGAGACCATGGAGAAGAATCTCAAAAGAAAAAAGTTGTTTATAAATTCCTAAATTCACTCCAACCTGAATGAACATGGAACAGCATACAAAAGACTATGATAATTAAGAAACCTCCAGATTGTAGACAAGCTGCTGATTAAAATATGTGTGTGATCACAACATTTAGGAGATTGAGGCAGGAGGATACTGAGATTAAGACTTGCCTAGGTTAATAGCAATTTCCTGGTTAGGCTGGGTTACACAATGAGACCCTGACTCAAAAAAAAAAAAAAAAAAAAAACAAAAATACAAGACAGACATGAGAGTCCTGCATAATTTTCAAAACTTGATTAGTTTTGGCACTATAATCCACACACTGCAGGTCAGAATTTGTGTTCTAAACCAAACCATGTTGATTACAAGTTAAAACAAAAGTGTAAATATTTCTACATAACAAAATTTTAAGTGTCAAAAAAGTGGTTTTATTTTTTGAGACAAGGTTTCTCTGTGTAGCTTTGGCTGTCCTGGAACCTACTCTAGACCAGGCTGGTCTCGAACTCACAAGAATTCAGCCTGCCTCTGCCTTGTAAGTGTTGGAACTAAAGGCCTGTGCCACTACCGCCTGGTGACAAATGATCTTTAAATGAATGTAAACATTAGAAGTTTTAACAAAAACCAGGCAGTGGTGGCGCACACCTTTAATCCCAGCACTCAGAAGGCAGAAGCAGACGGATCTCTGTGATTTCATGGCCAGCTTGGTCTACATATGAGTCCAAGAACAGCCAAGGATACACACAGAAACCTTGTCTTGAAAAACCAAAAAGAAAAGTTTCAGCAAAGAAGTAAGAAGTAATAGAAAATTGAAATTGTAAGACTGAAAAATACAGTAACAGAAACTTGCAGGGTACAATAGAAGAGTGGATTTAAAAAAGACAATAAATTTAAGGATAGATCAATAGAAATTAGCTAAGTTGAACAATAGAGAGGGAAAAGGTGAGAAAAAATATACAGAGCTACAATAATCTGTAGGATGATACAATAAAATCTAACATTTTGTTTCTAGAGATGCTGAAGGAGTGAGTAAGTAATGTTGAGAAAAAATATGTGAATACGTAATAACTAAAATTATTCCAAACTGAGCAAGAGACATGAACCTGCCAGTTTAAGGGCCTCTTCAAAAAAAAAGATAAATCCAAAAGTTGTCCAGATATATTCAATGTATAGAAAGGATAAAATTAGTGCTATGTATAGAGTAATAACAATTTAAATGCCTATGGGTTTCTCTTTAGAAATTAATCAGGTCATAGGAAGTGTAAAACATTTTAATGTGGTCAAAGGACTATCTTTACAAAGAAATGTGTCCAGCATAACTTTCAAGGTGAAGAAATGATACCAAGATGATATAATCTCTTCTAGAAAGCAAAAGGTAAACACTTCTCGTTTTAAGAGGTCAGCATTACCCTGATACCAAAATCAGAGAGCTGAAGAAAATAAAGGTGTAGGGCACAATATCTCTCATGAACACAAAAAATCTCAACAAAATCTTAACAAATTGTATCTAGTAATACATAAAAAGAAGCATATACTGTGGCCAAGTGGGTGCTCTTCCTTTTAGCAGTTTCAGTACTGACTCACCATGAGGAAATCAAGCAACACAGTCTAGCATATTAAATGTCTAAAGAAGAAAACCTATACTATCATATCTTCACTGATAGGATAAAAAGATGTTTGGCAAAATTCAATATCCACTCATAATAACAACATTCAGCAAACACAGCACAGATAGATAACATGCTTGAAACACAGCATCATTCTTAAGGTGAAAAATATGAAATCTTTCCCCGTAAGATTAGGAAAAATTCAAGAAAGTCCACATCACCACTCATGTTCAGGATTATACTGTAATCCTAATCAGTGCAGTAAGGCAAGATAAAAGGAAGCAAAGGGCAAAAAGATATATCAAAACTTGTACATAGATATTTCAGTGATTCATTGGCAAGACAGAACCAAAAATAGAAGTAAGAGTAAGGGGAAAAAATGAAGAGATTTTTAATGGATACTTGAATTTTTCTTCTTATCAGATAATATTTTTTTTAGAAAACCCCAAGTAATCCAAGAAGTAAATATTTAAGTTCAGTAATATCTCAGGATATAAGGTTGGTGTGAAATCTAGTAATATTTCCAAATTCAAGCAATGCATAATTAGAGATGAAAGTTTTCAAACATACCATTCACATTAGAAAATGGAAGAAAATTCTTAGATAGAGATGTTTAGTATCTATATGCTGAAAACTATAAAACACTAATTACATAAATCAAAGGATGCTTAAATAAATAAACATGCCTTGTTAATGGATTGGAAAACTAAACTTAATAGAGACAGGAATTCTCTCCCACACTTTTGTAAATACATAATGCAACCCCAATAAAATGTCCAGTACATTTTTGGTAACTATAACAGGGAAATTTTAAATGACTAGGAAAGTTAAAGCAACTAGACTAGCCAAAACAATTTTGAAAAAAAATACAACTACCAATTTAAGACTCGCTCTAAACATAGTGTTAAAGCAATAATGTATAAGATAATCAAATCAGTGTATTTGGAACTATGAGAAAGGACTATACCTTGAGCTGAACTTTATACCTTATTCAAAACTCAATTTCAGTGGATTATAGATCTAAATCTAACATGGAAAC